CAATATCAGGACCAAGAGAAGAATAGATGAAGTTTTCAACAGCAGGTTTCAGACACTGATTAGTGAATTCTTCAGCTTTTTTCTGGTATTGATCTCGTTTGTGGAAAACATCTTTGAAATCTGTGCAAAACCTTTCTTTGTTTTTCTGCAAACATTTATAAGGATCATTTTCTTGGATAAAATCTTCATGCATTTTCTGAAACTTTCTGGCTGCAGATCCACAGATGTGTTGTTTCAGAGACACTTCAAACTCAATGTCTATGTCAACATCAGTTTTGTTCAGCCTCTCATCAATGATGTGAAGAATCTCCTGGATGTAAGTATCATGATAGTTAGTTTTTCTTTTGATTTTATCAGTAATACACTCATTGCAAGCAGAGATGATGCTGTCAGCCAATTCTCTTTCCGTTTTATGATTTGTAAAGAATCCTTTTACTTGGCTTCTCCATCCCTTTTCTGTGTATGTAAAAGGCTCCAGTCCACAGTATTTGAGGTTTTTTTCACTCAGCAGTTCACATGCATGGCTTCCTTTGTGTGAAAGATTTGTTCGTAACTCATGGGAAACACTGGTGTAGATATTTATTGTCTGTTGTTTAGAAAAAGTCAAACTGTTCAGTGTTTTAGTCCACATCTTATTAAAACTTTCATCAAGCTCTCTGTCAGTCATTTGAACTTTTTTCTTACGACATTCATCAATTAAATCACAAACTGCTTTCTCAATTGTTTCTCTATAAGTGGCCTTGATTTTCTCAAGTTCTTTCGATCCCTTCTTAATATCAGCAGCTGCTGTGATCTGGTTGAACACTGATCTTTCAGTTTCTCGTCGAAGACTCTTTATGCTGTTGGAGAAATCCTCTCTGTATCCTTCAGCCAGATAAACATGACCTTCTGGCTGCTCAAAGTATTTCTTCAGGTTTTCAAGGATCTTTGTCTCCCACTTGATCAGCTCTGTGATTGCTTCACTTTTCAAATTAGTGATAAATTCATTCATGTCAGATATTGCATATGTTGCAGTAAATGAACCAAAATTGGAAATTCTTGTCTCTGCTTTGGTGACCAATTTGTACATTTCCTTTTTGAACTCCCACTCCCATTGGTTGTACTCTGTGCAGAGCCTCATGTAAGCATCAGCCACCAGGCTGTTTCTGAAGCTGAAGATGAAGTTTTCATGTTTTACTACGTTCCACAGGCTGGTTATCCACTCTCTGAACTCCAAGATGTCATTAGAAGTTGAGCCACACTTTTCCAGCTGTTGGATGATGTTTTTCTTGAGTTCATAGACAGTCTCACTGTATCCTGCATTGACTGGAGCCATTGGTGGGTTTCCATTCCAGAGTCCAGGAATGTAGCAGTTCCCAGTGTCTGGATTATACTCCATCACATCAGTGAAGCTCTTGTTTTCCTCTTTCTTCTCCATTCTAGCTGCTGCCTGGGTCATCTCATCCAGCTGTTCTAACAGCAGCTTCCTGTCTCTCAGGTTCTTCTCATGGGCTGAAACATCAGAAACGTTCTGGTGAACAAACTGACATTGAGGCTTTTTGCCACCGACCTCCTTCATCCTGAGGAAAGCATGCACCACTATCTGCAGGATGTCCTTCATCTCTGTTGAATTCTCCATGGCAATATTGATAATGGTGATGTCACTCAGCCCAACAACAAGTGTTGCCAGCTCATTGTCGTGCTCATAGCTGTTGTCCAGCTGTGCTAGCTCTGGTGACTTTAAGCCTTCAGTGTCGATGATCATCATGAAGTCACAGTTGAGAACTTTCTTCAAGTCTTCATTGACTTTGATGAGCAGCATGAAGGCACCTCTAGTGCATCGACCACTGCTGACTGCAAACTGGACTCCAAACATGGTGTTAAGGAGAGTGGACTTCCCTGTGCTCTGAACTCCAAGAACTGTGACGACCCGTATCTTGTTGTTTGGAGACACCAAGTCATTGAGCTGAGAGAGAACATCACTCACCCATCTGAGAGGAATGTTGGAAGCATCTCCATCTACAAGCTCAATAGGAAATCCATCCAGCAACAACTGAGCACAGAGTTTGGGCAGATGTTGCAGTTGTTGACGTGATGGATCGTTTCTGGAAGGTAAAGAGAAGCTTCATAGATCTGACCCATTTCACGGAAGAAGTGCTGAACTCCCAGTGAGCTGCTGGAAAGTTGTTGGTCAATTTTTTTATCTCTTCTTTGTTCTCAGAATCTTTGGATTTTTCCTTGTAAAGCTCCCTGAGGCCAGAAAGTTTGATTCGAGACAAGTTGTCAAGGTTCATTCTTAGCCATTTCAGAAAGTAACATCTCTCTCTTTGTGTGCTGGATATTGCACTAATGAAGCAGGTCATTGCTTTGGACTTTGCAGAATCATTTTGCTTTTTCCTCAGTTTTTCTCTCTCGTGCTGAAGTTTACATTTGTAATTTTCAATGTTTTCTGAACCAACTTTTCGAAGACGAAATTCTTCCTTTTCCAAACAAGTCAATTCCTTCCATATTTGACCCTGTAACAGAAGTTGATCTTCTTTGTATTTCATTATGTCTTTAATCTCTGCAGTGATTTCATCAGCTTTCTTCTTTCCATCCTGACACTCTGGAGAATCTTCATCAACTAAAATTCCCAGTTCATGTGCAACATCAGCCATCTGCTCTACAGACATCTTCTTCTCTGGTTTAATTACATCACTGACTCTTTTCCTCAATAGTTTAACAAAATCTGCATCATTTGTTTGTTTTGTCTTTATTAGAATGTTTTTGTTCGTCAAAGCCAGACTTGTTGCCAATTTTTGAACAAAATCAACTCTGAAGTTCTTGCTCTGTTTGTTTCCTACTAAAAAAATCTTTGCTTTGTGGTTTTTGTTCATCAGCAGTTTGCAGTCAGAGTCCAGCTGGTCAAAGAAAACAAAAACTGCAGCAGATGTCTGACACAAAAAGGAGAATTGAGTTTCAAATGAAGCAATGTCTCCACGAAGGTTAGCTATAGCAACTGGTTCACTGAAGATGTCCATGTTTTTGTTTCCACAGGGAAGGTACCAGGTCAGTTCAGTCAGTCCATTGGATATTCTTCTCTCAATGTCTCCACACTCCATGTTGTGGTGAACAAAGGTGTCATCTGGGTTGTTTAAAAGTTTATTGAGAATCTCTGATTTGGACAGAGAGCACTCACCCAGTCTCACAAATGAGATCATTGGAAGTTCAGAAAGAACTATTCTTTCTTCCATGAAGCCTTTTGATTCTGCAAGATCTGAAGGTCTGTACTTCTTAACAATGTCTCTCATGGCCCACAGCATGAGGGTGCACTGCTGTGTATCACAGTTAGGAAGCAGCAGAGGAACAGAGAACTGACACATGGACATTTTTAGAGCCAGTTCTTGCTGAACAAACCCATCAGAACACAGAAAGAGAGCAGTGATTAAATCAAGAGGATTTAGAAAGTCATCCTCATTTGAACTGGTAAGAACATCATTCAAATTCAACTCATTAGGTTCTAATTCATTATCTTGGTTTGACATAAAAACTGATTTTATTTTTCTTGCTGTTACATTCACCATCATCAGTTTCTTTAAACAATACCATGGAAGATCTGATTTACACTCTGGAGGCTCATCATTGATGGTCTTGTCATTGATCTCCAGTATCTTCCCCAGTGACAGTTTCTCCTTGTAGAACTGGTCCAATCCCAGTTCCTCCAAAAGCCTCTCCAGGTTGGACTCTGGTTATAAAATGAAAGTCTGTTATCTTATTTTAGTCAAAAACAATAAATCTGAATTCATTTCCATGAATTTAAAATTATAATGTTAATACTTGCTAAGTTTTAACAGTAAGTCCAAAACCACAGATATATTAAATAGAGGGAATGCAACAGAGGTCAAGCAAAAGTATTTGTAGGTTCCTAATTAATGAAGTCATAAGCTTGACGCTGTCCGTCTTTCCTCTTCATCTTATTCAACGACAGAAAAAACCAAAATGAAAAAACAGACTGAATCCTCTTGATACGTTGAACTGTTTACTTCAGAAATAAAAACAGCACAAAATGTTATGTTCCACACTAATAAAAGGTAATTAAAAAGGTCAAAAAACTGTGTGGCTCCACTCCAACTGCCCAACTCCCTGTCTTTACCACACCCCAAATCTTCCACTACAATTAGATATGCAAATTCACAGGATTTCCCCAGAAACTGAATTTAGGCTTCTACAGTATTCAAATCCCTTCAATTTTTTTAATACATTTTGCCAAGAACAAAATAAAATTCTATATTTCTAGGATTTTATGTGACAAACCAACACAGATTAGCTCACAGTTTTGTAAACTAATTTGAACAAAGTATTAAATAATATTGAAAATTATACTATTAAACAAAACAATTGTAAGTTTTTCTGCCATAACTTTGGTCAAAGGTCCTTCTTTTTGAGCATTTTGCTTCACCCAGCATTAGCTGCTTACCCACCATAACTTCAGGTACTAAAAAATCTGTCCATTTTATCTCTAGCATAGACCTGGTGAATTTGGCTACATAAAAGATTAGACAAGACAGTAATTCATGTTTGTAGATCATCTAAATTTAAATTGACTGAGCTGTTTTGCAAAGAAGAAAAGAAAACATCCATCTCAAGAAATGTCTTGCTGGATGAGACACACAGCAAAGGATAGTTCTACGAAGTGATGGACTGGGGAGGAGGCTGTTATAGCCACAACAGAAATGAGGAGAATAACACATTTATGTAAACCTGTTTTATTTATTCTCAGTAAATGCACTTCTTAGTTTTAATTAGAACATGTATTTTACTGACCTTCATCGTTTGTATCAGCTTGTTGATCGTCAGTATCAGTTTCAACACATGTTGGATCAGGGTCCAACATGTGTTGGATAAGATCCTTTGGTTCATCATCAGTGCTGGGTACCTTAACATAAATCACAAATATTTAATTTTATTGTCATAAAATGGATTGATGATTAAGTTATTTTCTATATATTTCAGATGTTTACAATGTTCCTGTGTACCTTCATTGTGGTAGAGGAATCTTCAGACTCAACATTTTGATTATAGTTTCTGTCTCTCTCTGAAAGAAAATTAGAAAAAGGTTTTGACTTTAATTTGCATCTGGAAACTCGACTCACCTACAGACCAGCATTACGCTCTGAGAGACAGTTAAAAAAAAAATCACAAAAAGTTTTTGGGCACTTTTACGAAATGTTTGCAAAGCAAAAATGTATTATTTGTTTAGAGATAAAATGAAAGAGCAACAACAAATCTTTCAAGACCATTTACAGATCATCAGTTAGTTTAGCTGCCCTTCTTCAATTAATCTGAGATTACACTAAAACAATAAGGTATATTAATTTCTGTGGAAAATCACTCAGAAGTGTTTCACTTTGTACTCTACTGGCCAAAATGATAAAAACATTTTCAACATGTCTAATATGAATGGATGTGTATATTCTGCCTCTCTGGTTCCTTCACTGATTGATTGCAGTTGTTTGTCCGACTTAAAGGTTTCAATACACATTTAAATGTGTTGAAACTAAAGGTGTTTCAATAAAAGAGAACCTGCAACTGTTAGGATTCAAGTTGGTGTGAGTGCTCCTCCGAATAGACAATCTTCGTGGGAGCGTTCCGGCAGGCTGACGCACCTGAAGCGGATTTCTGAAATCGGCTGCAGGATTCTTAAGAAGCGGTGGAGCAGCCATTCATCGCTCGATGGTCCCACTTGTTGGTCAGAGTCAATCCCAAGGTTTGCCAAGCTTCACGTTGACTAAGGACTAAGTAAATCTGTATTGTTTTTTCTCAGATTTTGGATGCTCTGCCTGGATCCAGCTAAGTTACCACGCCCACCCGAACACTGACACCGATCGCCCTCCGGACTAAACGCTCTCGTCTGCCGCCTGAGCCCACAACCTTCTCGGAGCCTTTGCACCAACGGATCCTACCTCCTCCTCGGCAATCCTCCATCAGATGATCTGTAAGCCCTTCCCTCCACTTCCCTGTCAAGATCCTCTCACTCCCGCTCCTACTAACCTCTCCCCTCTCCAAGCAGTACCTGAGCCGCCCAGCCGCTCCCGAAACCAGAGGACAACTTAGGCTCAACATATTCCATAATAACTGTAAATAAACCTTTGAACCAAAAACCTTCCGGTCTGATGTCTAAACCTGCATGTGGGTAAAGAAACTCAAATCCAGCATGACAGAACCATCGAGCCATGTTGACCCAGCAGGTTCTCACACAAGACCCGGTTTAAGTTCAGCAGAACTCCTAGCCCGCCATGACGCTATGCTTCGCACTTTATTAGACCAGCAGAGTTTCCAGGGCCAGCTGATGGATCAGTTGAGAACCACAGTCTCGGAACTATCACACAGGCTGGAGCAAAACCCTCAGCCTCAAATTACAGCCGGAGCAGCGGCCCCAGTCCTTCCTCCGGGGGTGGAGCAGATAGCGGTAGCGGCTTCAGGTGGGTCGCTCCGAGCTCGTGAGATTTCACCCCCGACACCAGAACATTATTCGGGAGAGATTGGAAAGTGTGGAGGATTCATTCTGCAGTGTTCCATTGTATTTTGCAGAGCTCCAGGCTCATTTCCGGATGACCCCGCCAAGATAGCTTACATGATCGGACTTTTGAAGGGAAGAGCCCTGAGATGGGCAGAAGCTAAATTTAGCCTCTCATCTCTTTCACAAACACCTTTTGCTACCTTCTTGAACGAGCTAAAGCAAACTTTTGGTTATGCAGAGTCCAGTTCAGAAATCTCACATCAGCTTTGGAACCTGAAGCAGGGGTCCCGTTCTGTAGCTGAATTTGCCATTGATTTTCGCACTCTAGCAGCCACGTCTGGTTGGAATGACGAAGCTCTCAAAGGGGCTTTCATGCAGGCTCTCAATGAGACTCTCAAAGATGAACTGGCATGCAGGGATGAACCAGCCAGTTTGGAGAACCTGATAGCTTTGGCTATTAAGGTCGATAATAGACTTAGAGGAAGGTCCCGAGAGAAGAGAGCATTTAAACCTGTGCCTTTTTCAGACAAACTCGCACCAGAGGTTGCTATGGAAACCATCCCGAACACGCCTTCTTCCGAGGAGCCCATGCAGATCGGCCGCACCAGAATTTCCCCCACAGAACGACAACGACGACTAGAAGCTCGTGCCTGCTTCTATTGCGGTCTTACTGGCCACTTCGTCGCCGTATGCCCGGCTCGGTTAAAAGGCGGAGCCCACCAGTGATAACGGGAGTCCTGGTGGGTGGCTGTTCCAGTTTGATCTCCCGACTTTCTCTTTCTGCATCCCTTTTCATCAACCAAAGGTCAGTTAACGTATCGGCTCTAATTGATTCTGGATGTGAGCAGAACCTGATCGATGAAAATTTGGTAAAGAAACTAAATATTCCTACAATTTCTCTCCCCGTCCCGGTCCAAGTTTCCGCCCTGGATGGAGAAGTCTTGCCCGTCATTTCGCAACAGACTAAACCCATTGAACTTCTGGTTTCAGGAAATCATCGTGAGATTTTGATCTTCTATGTGTTTCCCTCTCCGCAGACCCCTCTGGTGCTGGGTTTCCCTTGGCTGAGACAGCACAATCCTCACCTTAATTGGAATGAGGGGAGAGTGGAATCATGGAGCAGAACCTGCCACTCAACCTGTCTACAGGCCGCCCAGACGACTCCACAATTGGACATCACCCGGGAGGATGAGGAGGACATTCTGGACCTGTCCAAGATTCCCCCTGAATATCATGATTTGAAAATGGTTTTTCAGAAAAATAAAGCACTGTCACTTCCCCCCACCGCCCCTATGACTGTGCTATTGATCTCCTTCCCGGTGCTCCGTTGCCCTCCAGTCGACTTTATAACATTTCTAAGCCAGAGAGGGAGAGCATGCTAAAATATATTAACGAGTCCCGCGCTGCAGGCATTATTCGCCCCTCCACGTCTCCGCTGGGGGCGGGATTTTTTTTGTGTATAAGAAAGACGGCTCTCTCAGACCATGTATTGATTATAAGTGTCTTAATCAGATCACGGTTAAAAATAAGTATCCCCTTCCCCTTCTCACATCAGCTTTTGAACCGGTACAGGTGCCACCGTGTTTACTAAATTGGACCTACGAAACGCTTACCATCTGGTGCGCATCCGTGAAGGTGATGAATGGAAAACGGCGTTCAAAACCCCGCTGGGCCATTTCGAATATCTGGTCATGCCTTTCGGTCTGACGAATGCCCCGGCCGTTTTCCAGTCCCTTATCAATGACGTGTTGCGTGATTTTCTGGATCAATTTGTGTTTGTTTACCTGGACGACATCCTGATTTTTTCTGAGACCCTGGCGGAACATAAACGGCATGTAAGGTTGGTCCTACAGCGTCTTTTAGAAAATAGTTTGTATGTTAAAGCGGAAAAATGCGAGTTTCATGTGCCTTCCATCTCGTTCCTGGGGTTCATTTTGGAGAGTGGGCAGGTGAAGCCGGATCCCGGGAGAATTCGCGCAGTTTTGGATTGGCCGACCCCATCTTCTCGCAAGCAACTACAACGTTTTTTGGGGTTTGCTAATTTTTATCGAAGGTTTGTCCGTAATTACAGTCAGACTGCGGCCCCCATGACCAGTCTTACGTCCACCAAGGTCCAGTTCTCCTGGACTCCGGAAGCTGACGCAGCGTTTTCGGCTCTGAAAAAGAAATTCGCTAATGCCCCGGTCCTGATCCAGCCAGACCCACTAGGCAATTCACGTTGGAAGTGGATGCTTCCGATTCAGGGGTGGGGGCGGTGTTATCTCAAACCTCGCCTTCTGATCACAAGATGCATCCGTGCGCTTTTTTTTCTCGCCGACTTTCTCCTTCAGAAAGAAACTATGACGTGGGGGACCGGGAGTTGTTGGCGATTAAAATGGCTTTGAAGAGTGGCGCCACTGGTTGGAGGGGCTGAGCTTCCGATTGTGGTTTGGACCGATCACAAAAATTTATCCTATCTGCAGACGGCTAAACGGTTGAATCCGCGACAGTCAAGATGGTCTCTTTTTTTTCCAGATTCAACTTTATCATTTCATATAGACCAGGTTCTAAGAATGTGAAACCAGATCTCTCTCCCGACAATTCTCCTCTGATGATGAGGACCCTATTGTGGACACCATAGTTCCTCGCTCATGCATCATGGGGGGGGTTTCCTGGGACATCTCTGACCAGGTCCTCAAAGCTCAGCAGTCGGATCCTGATCCAGGTACTGGTCCTCCGGGTCGAATTTACGCTCCTTCTTCTGTTCGCTCCCGTCTGATCCATTGGGCTCACGCTTCCCGTTTTTCTGGTCACCCGGGCGCCAGTCGGACCGCGGCATTAATCAGGCGCTCCTTTTGGTGGCCGTCCCTTCATAAGGATGTGAAAGAGTATGTTTCGGCCTGCCCCTCCTGCGCTAAGAACAAGTCCAGCCATCAACTTCCCAGTGGGCTTTTGCAGCCCTTACCCGTTCCGGGACGTCCTTGGTCCCATATTGCTCTTGATTTTGTCACCGGCCTGCCCCTTCTAAGGGGTTCACAGTCATACTTACCATCGTGGACCGTTTTTCCAAGGCCTGTCACCTTGTGCCCCTTAAAAAATTGCCGTCTGCTGCGGAAACTGCTCTTTTGCTTATTAAGCATGTTTTTAGGCTCCATGGGATTCCTAGGGAAATTCTATCTGACAGGGGACCCCAGTTTATCTCGAAGGTATGGAAAGACTTTTGTGGCGCGCTTGGGGCCAAGGTATCTTTATCTTCTGGGTTTCATCCTCAGACCAATGGGCAAACGGAGCGCATGAATCAGGAGATGGAATCTACACTTCGCTGCCTGTGCTCCTCCAACCCCTCCTCATGGTCCTCCCAGCTGCCCTGGGTTGAGTATGCACATAACAGCCACGTTTCTTCCGCTTCTGGTTTGTCCCCATTTGAATGTTCACTAGGTTATCAGCCTCTTCTCCTCCCATCGGACGAATCCCGGAATGCCGTCACGTCAGCTCAACACCATATTCGGAAGTGCCAGCGCATTTGGAGGGATGCTACTGCAGCATTGAATCGCACCGCTGCCCAGAATCGCCGCTTTGCGGACAGGAAGAGACGTCAAGCTCCTGTTTACAGGCCGGGTCAGAGGGTTTGGCTGTCGGCCAAAGACATTGCCCTAAAAGCTGCATCTAAGAAATTATCTCCTAAGTATTTAGGTCCGTTTGAGATCCAGGCTATTGTGAACCCCGCTACGGTCAGACTCAGGCTCCCACCTTCTCTCAGGGTTCATCCCGTGTTTCATGTTTCCCTACTGAAGCCTGTGAGGTCTAGCCCGCTTTGCCCTCCAGTTGGCTCCCCCCTCCCGTCCGCTATATTGATGGGGGTCCGGCCTATACTATTAATAAAATCCTTGACGTACGTCGGAGGGGCAGGGGTTTTCAATATCTGGTGGATTGGAAAGGTTACGGCCCGGAGGAACGCTCCTGGGTTCCCAGGTCTTTTATTCTGGACAAGTCGGTTCTGAGGAGGTTTCATGCCACCAGAGCTTCGGGTTCCTCGGGACCGCCGGGTGGCGGTCATTGAGGGAGAGGTAATGTTAGGATTCAAGTTGGTGTGAGTGCTCCTCCGAATAGACAATCTTCGTGGGAGCGTTCCGGCAGGCTGACGCACCTGAAGCGGATTTCTGAAATCGGCTACAGGATTCTTAAGAAGCGGTGGAGCAGCCATTCATCGCTCGATGGTCCCACTTGTTGGTCAGAGTCAATCCCAAGGTTTGCCAAGCTTCACGTTGACTAAGGACTAAGTAAATCTTTATTGTTTTTTCTCAGATTTTGGATGCTCTGCCTGGATCCAGCTAAGTTACCACGCCCACCCGAACACTGACACCGATCGCCCTCCGGACTAAACGCTCTCGTCTGCCGCCTGAGCCCGCAACCTTCTCGGAGCCTTTGCACCAACGGATCCTACCTCCTCCTCGGCAATCCTCCCAGATGATCTGTAAGCCCTTCCTCCACTTCCCTGTCAAGATCCTCTCACTCCCGCTCCTACTAACCTCTCCCCTCTTCAAGCAGTACCTGAGCCGCCCAGCCGCTCCCGAAACCAGAGGACAACTTAGGCTCAACATATTCCATAATAACTGTAAATAAACCTTTGAACCAAAAACCTTCCGGTCTGATGTCTAAACCTGCATGTGGGTAAAGAAACTCAAATCCAGCATGACAGCAACATGTTCTACCCTTCGCTTTGTACATAAGATAAAAAAAGAAGAGGGTTGATGAGTGAACCTTGGGGAACGCCCTGGGACAGACGGGCTATGGAGGAGGCAGTAATGAGTAATTAAAGTGTTCCTGCATGTATTTATAGGAATTCAGCTTTTCAGTGAAGGCCTCCGGGCTTGTTAGACACCATGAGTTTCTTTTTCATTTTCAACAACCACTTTCAGCTTCTTTTATGGTTGAGCAGCACCATGACCTTGAGTCAGACTTTTATGTTGTACAATTTTCCTTTTTGTGTTTGAGATGTTAAAGTAAATATTACATTGGGGGGTGCAGCCAGCAACAGCTTGTTTGCATTAAAGTGACAGTAACCCAACAGCTAATACAGATGAAGATAAAATGGGAAGCCAACAGGCAGAACCCCACAGGTAAAATCTTGTGACCTTAGAGTGAGTTCATAATAATGTAATAAATATGTAGCCCAATGATCAATCCAAACTTTATTGAAATAAAATAGGTTCCCTTTAATACCGTCCTTCAGCCTCCAATTAATGTAAAGTTTGGATTTACTTCAGTCACCTTTTCAGGAACCAGATAATCATCTCCTCCAGACTTTTGAAATTCTATCAACAATTTTTTTTCAAATGGCTTTTTCTATGAAGCTGCATATTATTTTTTTAAACTATTTCACGCATTTAGAATGAGGGAGTAAATATGTATATATGTTATCTCATAGTGAGGAAATTCAGGTGGAACAGCAGCATCAAGGCATGTAAGTTCACACAAAAATAAAAAACATTATGAGAAACTGTGTGTATTAAAAAAACTGAAGATCTGACTGAAATTTGTACTGACCTGTTCCAATGTGTCCTGTCTTTGTCAACAGTTCTCTGACTTGGTCCTCTCCTCCATATTTATTGTTGAAAAGATGGATTCTCCATGAAAAACGGTCAACAATTTTGGGAAGCGGACTGTTGGTAGAGCCTAAAATAAATTGCTCTAGTGATGTCTTTAGACTATCTCCTCCTGTGAAGAGCAGGAAACAATTTTTCATCCTCTGAGGCCCGAGGACTTTCTCTACAGCCTCTACAGCCTTTTCATCCTCTTGAGTGAAACGACCAACTTTGATCACCAGCAGGTAAAGAGAGGGAGTGGAGTCCGGCAAAAGATTCAGAAGAACTTTTGCAATCTGCTCCTGTGATGTTAATATGTCTCCAGTGTCTATCACTGAAATTTGTCTCCCAAACAGAGTTACAGGTTCCACACAAATATATTTGGTCACTGACTGAAAGTCTGTTTCTGCCTTAAACACTTCCCTTCCTAGAATGGTGTTTGCTGAAGAACTTTTCCCAACTCCAGTTTTTCCCAGAAGAACAATGTTAAGATGCTGATCCATGACAGAACAGCGATCTGTTGAGAAAAAATGCAAAACACTTTAGTTTCTGCTTGTTGTCTTTGGAGTTTACAGAACAATTTAAATGTAATGATATTGCAAAGCTCAATGAAAAAATAAAGATGTCAGTTTTTATGCACAATGTTAAGTGACTCAAGGTAGAAAAAAAAAATAATTTCAATCAACATTTAATAAAACTGATGAACTATAAACACATTATTATATGATAAAAAATTATATGATATGATAAAAATTTCTCGCTAAGGGGTCTGAGTTACAAAATTAATTTCATCTGTTATTGCTGGGAAATGGTGGTCGTATATATATATATATATATATATATATATATATATATATATATATATATATATATAATATTATATATATATATATATATATATATATATATATTATTTATTTATTACTTAGAGCTTTATTACTTACTGATTTCCAAACGATTAAGGCTCAAGATGTCTCCTGTCGGGATCTGAGCTGAACACACTCCATCTCTCAGCTTTCGTTTTCTCCTCCGTCTTTTAACTTGACATAAAAATAAACACATGTAAATGTTGAGAATAAAAATCTCTCAGGTAGATTTCATCCGTTCTGTTGCGTCCTGCAAACGGTCCACTTACCTCTTCATAGGATGAGACAAACACAGAATGTCTCGACAACAACTCGGACCAAGATGGCGTCACATTTTTCACAACTTTTGTCTATAAAAGTTGTTGTCAGGCAACGTCACCTGACGTCTTTCAAAGTAAAATTCCTCGTTCAACTTTTTATTGATTCAGTTTGTTACTGTCTAAAGTAATTAAGACTGATTTGAAAATGATAATAAAACTAAAATAAAATGTTTCACTTCTATTTAACCTACAAAATAAATGTTTGTAATACATTTATTTGGAGGTAATTAAAGTAAAATAAATAGAGATAGAGGTGAAGATATTCAGTTACAAATTTATAGTTTGTAAATGTTATATGATTAGCTGAGTTTATACAATTTACTTGGAGAGAAAAATAGTTCTTTTATTGACCTACTTGCTTTATTTTATTTTGACGGTGTATCACCGGAAATGGCCAAAACCTCGATCAAGTGTCGCTGATTTCTGAGCAGTAAATGACTGAAATAAAACTTCACAGTGTTGCTGTTGGGATGACGGACAGCAGAGAGAAAGGTGAGTTTGAGAATCTTTTACGTGTTTTTATTGTTGTGATTGGTTTAGAATAACTTCTGAATAGTTCATAAGACGCGTTCAGATTATGGAATAACTTTAAAAAGGATTTAATCGTCTTTTTGGTTCCTGAGTCTAAGTTCTGTTGTCATTCCTGATAAATGTGTCCGTTTGAGCCGTATGTGAGACGGAGTTCGGTTACAGTACAAACAGGCATTGAAATTTATAAATAGCCCCTTGCAGGGAGGAGTGACCTTGGTGTGTTGCCTATTGGGAATTTGAAAATATTATCTATTATTATTAAATTAATTGCACTACCGTCTCTGTCTCCAGGCCCCGCAAAGAGACTTGTCCGCAGAATGAGCAAAGATGAACCTCCAGAAGGTTTGGTCTCAGCTGTGGTTGCAGTTTCAGTTTTGATGGGATTTTTTCCCCCCAAATACTTTAAAATTACATTTTATATTATTTTCTCAGTTACTGTGAATGAATTTTGTCTTTATTGAAGGATATTCAGCACAATGACAAAACTAAACTAAACACTAGTATTGAAAATTACAACTAAGGAATTAAATAAAATAATGTAAAATGTATTATATACATGGAAAAAATAAAAAGACGTATTAATGTGTAATTTTGTTATGTTGGTGCCTTTTTACTCAGTTATGTCATCAATTTTGACAGAGTGTCATATATTTCTGAAATCATGTGGGGACTCACAATGTGGGAAAAAAATTAAATATGTAAGCAATTTTATCAAATACTTAGTGCACAGCATTTTGTTGAAGTTGTTGACACAGACACACCAGCAATTTAGTCTCTTGAAACATACCTGGAAATTGTCTTCCCTGTTCATTGAACTATGTTGAAATATTTCTTAAATTCCAACATCATACATATTTATTTGTGGACAAACCATTAATGCATCTGATTTAATATTGTTTACATGCTGTTCCAAATTACCATGTACTTTATCGATTCTAGAGAGGGAATCTGTTGCCATCGCAGACACAAAATACATTCTTTGAAAATCCAGAGTTATGTAAATTACATTTTCAATAACACAAAAATAAAAAATCGGTGAGAACAGATAACTTGGAGCTTAAGTTTTATTTGAGGGATTAATTTATTCTTTATGTTATTGAAAGAATAAATCGTGCAAGAAAGGCTCTGGTTTCCAGGGATGACTTTCATGTTTGCTGCTGACCATATCAGTCCTTCAACCAAGCAACAAGGCTGACAGATTGGGAGAAAAATGTTGTTGACACTTTCATGCTAATATTTTCTTACCTGTAGCTTTGCAATACAATTCTCAAGGTAAGAGAAAATTCTTTTTAGTTATTCTTTTCTCAATTATATGACCTCCATTATGTAGTTACATTCAGCCATCTACATAAACTTAAGAAATTATTAATGTCGCTGGCAGATTTCAGTTTGAGAATATTTTCAACCAAGAATAGGAAATGAGATACAGTTGTGGTCAAAAGTTTGCATACAATTGTAAAAAGCATCATGTCATGGCTGTCTTGAGTTCCCAATAAGTTCTACAACTCTTATTTTTCTGTGATAGAGTGATCGAAACACATACTTGTTTGTCACAAAAAACAGTCATAAAGTTTGGTTCTTTCATAAATTTATTATGGGTCTGTTGAAAATGTCACCAAATCTGCTGGGTCAAAATATACATACAGCAACATTAGTATTTGGTTACATGTCCCTTGGCCATTTTCACAGCAACTAGGCGCTTTTGGTAGCCATCCACAAGCTCCTGGCAAGCTTCAGGTCGAATGTTAGACCATCTTCTTGACAGAATTGGTGCAGTTCAGCTAAATGTGATGGTTTTCTTGCATGAACCTGTTTCTTTAGTACTGTCCACATGTTCTCAATGGGGTTTAAGTCAGGACTTTGGGAAGGCCATTCTAAAACCTTAATTCTAGCCTGGTTTATCCATTCCTTTACCACTTTTGATGTGTGTTTTGGGTCATTGTCCTGTTGGAACACCCAACTGCGCCCAAGACCCAACCTTCGGGCCGATGGTTTTAAGTTTTCCCTGAAGAATTTGAAGGTAATCCTCCTTCTTCATTATCCCATTTACTTTCTGCAAAGAACCAGTTCCACTGGCAGCAAAACAGCCCCACAGCATAATACTACCACCACCATGCTTGACAGTAGGCATGGTGTGGGATTAAAGGCCTCACCTTTTCTCCTTCTGGGTGTTGTGGCCAAACAGCTAAATTTTTGTTTCGTCTGACCACAGAACTTTCCTCCAGAAGGTTTTATCTTCGTCCATGTGATCAGCAGCAAACTTCAGCCGAATCTTAAGGTTCCTTTTCTGAAGCAAGGGCTTCTTTCTTGCATGGCAGCCTCTCAGTCCATGGCGATGTAAAACACGCTTGACTGTGGAGACTGACACCTGTGTTCCAGCTTCCAAATCCTTGCAGTCCTGCTTTTGGTGATTCTTGTTGACTCTTGACCATCCTGACCAATCAAAAAATAAGAGTTGTAGAACTTATTGGGAACTCAAGACAGCCATGACATTATGTTTTTTACAAGTGTATGTAAACTTTTGACCACAACTGTACATGGGTTGGACAATGAAACTGAAAAACCTGGTTTTAGACCACAATAACTTATTAGTATGGTGTAGGGCCTCCTTTTGCGGCCAAGACGGCGTCAATTCGTCTTGGACAAGTATGGAGCCAAGGGAATGCCATGATATGGCAGCCCACACATCACTGATCCACCCCCATGCTTCACTCTGGGCATGCAACAGTCTGGGTGGTACGCTTCTTTGGGGCTTCTCCACACCGTCACTCTCCTGGATGTGGGGAAAACAGTAAAGGTGGACTCATCAGAGAACAATACATGCTCACATTGTCCACAGCCCAAGATTTTCGCTCCTTGCACCATTGAAACCGACGCTGGCATTGGCACGAGTGTCCAAAGGTTTGGCTATAGCAGCCCGGCCGTGTATATTGACCCTGTGGAGCTCCCGACGGACAGTTTTGGTGTAAACAGGAGAGTTGAGGTTCACATTTAATTCTGCCATGATTTGGGCACCGTGGTTTTATGTTTTTTGGATACAATCCGGGTTAGCACCCGAACATCCCTGTCAGACAGCTTCTCTTGCATCCACAGTTAATCCTGTTGGATGTGGTTCGTCTTCTTGGTGGTATGCTGACATTACCCTACATACCGTGGCTCTTGACACATCACAAAGACTTGCTGTCTTGGTCACTGATGCGCCAGCAAGACGTGCAACAAACAATTTGTCCTCTTTTGAACTGGTATGTCACCCATAATGCTGTGTGCATTGCAATATTTTGAGCAAACTGCTCTTACCCCGCTAATTGCACCTTCACACTCTGCTCTTACTGGTGCAATTAATGAAGATTGACAACCAGGCTAGTCCAATTCAGCCATGAAACCTCCCCACTAAAATGAGAGGTGTTTCAGTTTCATTGTCCAACGCCTGTAAGTGCTTCTGTTAATCTATGCAGAGTAGTAACTTGTAATAGTCCCTCCAGCGTGTCCTGTGTCCAGGTTGTACTCCACCTGTCCTCAAACGGCAATAGGAGAAAAATTACAACTCAAGAAAGATTTAGTAAATCCAGGCTTTGTGTGATGACTTCAGTTTTGTCATCAATTAGTGAAAAACAACGTCATGAAGACCAAGCAACAAGTCAGGCAGCTTGGGAGAAAGACGTTGGAAAGATTAAAGCACACCTCAAGATTTATCATTTCAAGTTGTCAACCTGAGCTGACAGGATGGAGAGAAGCAGCCAAGAGACTCACCTTAACTGTAGAGGATCTGTAGAGATGGCCAAAAGAAGAAATGT